AGAGAGAGAGAGAGAGAGAGAGAGAGAGAGAGAGAGAGAGAGAGAGAGAGAGAGAGAGAGAGAGAGACAGAGTCTGGCAAATACGACCGCCACTAAGAATTCCTTTCAAGACCTGGTTCTTTTGCGATTTGCAATTTCTTGAAGTTTTCCTTTGCCGTACAAGTTGACAATGTCCAGGCGGCCCAGGACCCCAGGGGTACGCCTGGGTCCCACCCTAGCGCGCATGGCCAGGCAAGACCTGGGGAAATTCCCGGGCATCCCAGCGCAAAACATTAAAATAAGAAAAACAGATTAAAATCAGAAGAAAGTCAGAAGAAAACATGTGTTGTTTAAAATTACAAACAACTACCCAGCCCATGATCCCACCCATGACCATGAACCGTGCCAAATGATCTCACCCATGAACTGTGGGTAACCAGAGCTAAGTTTGAATCCTGTCATACTCAGATGACAAACATGAGTAACTCAGTAACATGACAACTTAACTAATAACCCTTGCTAATGTGTAGCATGATAAGCTGCCTGCCTGTTCTACATGCACAACAAGTAACTCACCTCCATCATACTGTTCAGCTGATAATCAAGACCATTTTCGCCCTCGCGTCTTGTAGGAAGTAAGTACCCCAATGTGTCAACCACTGCCATGTTATTCCCATCACATCTCCCACATTCATGCCACCCCAGCCGTCGGTTCGGGCAAGTAATCAGACGTAAATTGTAATCGACGGCGGCTTCAACTGTCTGGACTTCCTGCAATTGCACAGCATTTGAAAATCAATATTTGAGCCCACAGCTGCCCTCACTTTCTATCAGAGCAAAAAGAGCATGATGCAACAAGCAAGMAAAAGGGGGCSAGAGGGGRGGGGGGAGAGAGAGAGAGAGAGAGAGAGAGAGAGAGAGAGAGAGAGAGAGAGAGAGAGAGAGAGAGAGAGATWAAMAAACAAGACAAACGATTAGCCTACATCTCACAAATCTTTCTAGCCATTACTAGAAAAAAGGGAAAAAGAGCAGGAAGAAAAAGAGACTACAATGAAGCAAACACACCACAACATATCCAATACACCAGTTGCCTGCAGTTAAGCCTTGTTCACAGACAGGTGGACGAGGAGGCGGCGTAGGCCCCTTTGGAGGCAGCATGCCTGAGAAAGGCCCCTCATTTGGCTTTCTCAAGTCTTGGCATTGGCCCTGAGGTGGCCCAGTCCATATTGGGCCAGAAAGGTAGCCTGTATGCATCCATAATGAGGGTACATCGGGTGAAGATCGTAGCCTGGAGATCCCACAGCGGTCCCAGTGGCACAGTACTACTATCCCATTTTCATGGTTCGTCTTTCACACCCTTGGACATGCCCAGTCGAATCACGACTGTCCTACATGCATGCACAACCAGCAGGCCGGAGAGTACTGGGAACACACGCCAAGTTTTACCAATGCATACGGGCCTCGCTCCACTACAAAACACTCTATAGAGTCTATAGACTCTATACGGATCTCGACCTTGTAATTGTGTGTTGCATTTAAAATGTTGGACTTCTCCACATGCACCTGGTCCAGAAACGTCCAAATGCAGATAGAACGTTGAATAGTGGAGTGAAACTTCAGAATATGATATCTACTCCCTTAAAAAAAACTCTCACGTAGAGAATGTGGCCTACTGGCCAGGAGATCCACGGAATACGACTGCTGCATATTTTTATTGTTTTCAAGAAGCGCTAAATTCTGTGTCGGTTTAAAGGAATGCATCCTGAGCAACTCAATTACCAAAAGCCTTTGCAAGTGGACAGTGCAGGACGCGCCAGAAAACACTCTCTTTGCCGCCTTCTTAGCAAAGACAGCTCTACACCGACGGGCTTCACTCGGTTGGTATAAATACAGAAATGTTCTGATAAACCAGCAGGACACCCGAGCCTGAGGCGCCGCACTGCTAGCCAAGCTTTGCCGAACCGGTAGCGGCACACTTTTGGCTTCCGCTGCCGGCCATCCCCAAGCCTCCAAAATTTTAAAAGTAGGTGACAAAGAAATCTTGCAGGTGCTTGGCATACTCACACTAGGACTTCTTTCCCTTCTTTGTGGACACATTTAGCTGCTAGGTGCATCTTGGCGAGGTCAGAAAAAAGACCATATACATCCGGAAAAGCGCTAGTGCAAGTACGCCCTAATTTGAACGAGTTATGGAGCCAGGCCCTTGACCAACAATTGGGGGTTTGGTTTGCGTCCAGAAAAGGAGATCCAAAATATCCTGCACCTGAAATCAGAGAGCCAATTCCAAACGCAGCAATTCGACTATTGGGCTGAAAACAAAAGGCTCAAAATTTGGAGCCCCAGTGGTTTCCCTTAGTGCCAACCATTGCACAGAACGTGTAACACCCGTTCACATTTCGTTCAATAAAAAACGGGCAACCAATCATGCACACAGATGGAAATCCCACCAGGTATAGTAGAAAAGATCCAACAGCCAGGTACGCATACTGGTTGATCTGGCAAGCCAATGACCCCAAATGGTCCAAATTCTTCTGAAAAAAAAAACAAAAAAAAGAGGACATCAATAATGCCCTGAACTTAAATAACTGTTCGGCATCAGATGATACGGATCCAGTCTGGATCAACCGACACTGAAGGCATATACTCACACGAGGACTTTTTCACTCGATTATGGCCGTAGTTGCGGTCAGATGCATCCAGGTCCGCCCATATATGCGGTCAGACTGGTAACGAGGTAGGAGGGTTGAGGCAGGCTTAGGTCCGGCCATATATGCGGTCAGATGCATACAGGTTCAGCCATATATGCGGTCAGATGCATCCAGGTCCGGCCATATATGTGGTCAGATGCATCCAGGTCCGGCCATATATGCGGTCAGATGCATCCAGGTGCGGCCATATATGCGGTCAGACGGGTA